TATCTATCAACAAGTGAATCTAAAAATTAAGTCAATAAAAAATCTGATGAACAGAATAAACTGGTGAATATAATAGAAGTGGGGACATAGAAAGGGAGTGGACTGACAGTTCTCAGGACGAAGGGGGTGTGAAGGGTGCGGGAAGAGTTTGGACAAAAATCTTACATCAATGGATGAGGACAGTGGCGGGGGATAAGGGCATGGAGTGGGGTGGGAACCAGGTGGAGGGGGGCTATGGGGGGAAAAAAAGGAACTGTAATAATAATCTTAACAAGAAATATTTAATTTAAAAATAAAATAAAATAATAGACCTCTATAAGTGTATGATACCTCTTTTCTTGATTCTCAAGGGGGAAAAAAGAGGAACAACTGTAATAATCTTAACAAGAAATATTTAATTTAAAAATAAAATAAAATAATAGACCTCTATAAGTGTATGATACCTCTTTTCTACTTGATTCTCAAAGATGCAAAGAATTAAAACAAAATCCACTATGGTGTAAAACATTGCTGATATAAATTAAGCATAATCTAACTAAATGTAGATATATTATGTTCATTGATTAAAAGACTTTATAATTTTAACATGTCAATTCTCCCCAAACTGACCTACAGATTCAGTGCAATCTTGATTATAATCCCAGCAGTCTATTTCGGTAGGCAGATGCAAAGGACCTTTAATATCCAAAATAATCTTAAACAGTAAGTACAAAGTTGTGGGGCTTGACTTGGTAATTTAACAGAGTTATGGCAATTAAAGTATTATGAAACTGCCTAAGGATGGACAAGTAGAACAATAGAAGAGAAGAGAGCCTAGAAATAGACTCCTACTTATTCAGTCAAAGGCACCAATAAGTGTTGCTGGAATAACTGGATAGCCATATGGAAAAACTGAACCTCAATCCCTACCTCACATGTAATAAAAATTAATTCAATATGAATCATATACCTAAATATACAAGTTGAAACATAGATATTTCAGGGAATAAAACCACGTTGGGCATGTGCTGGGGGGTGAGGGTGGCTGGGGAGAGGTCAATGGGGGGAAAAAGAATACATATGTAATACTATATGTAATACTTTAAACAATCAAGAATTAAAGAAAAAAACACACTTTTGATCTTCTCAAAGTCACCACAAATATTGTCCTACTTCTTTAAAATATTGTTACCCAATTCCCTTTTATAATTAAGTAGTTATACTGAATACTTAGAACACAGTTCAGTCTAGGTGGCTCTAAGATAATTAAGCAATTGGTTAAAAATATAGATAACTTCTACAATAACCTAGATGTGAATTCTGTCTGGCAAAGACATTTTCTTACTACTGTTTATTATTTAAAGTTTAAGGCAAATAATTCACTCACCTTCAATGGAAAAAGTTGCCTAGATTTAGCTCAAATGGTTCCAAAAGAGATTTTCTGGTTTTTAATATAATTGCATTATACAGATAAAAGATTCTAGATATTTTCTTACTTGCTTCTCTCCCCTCTGCCCATTTCCTCAAGAAAGAAACACAAAACACAACAACAACAGTAAAACATGCAACACAAGCCACTCACCGGAGCCCATACAGAACTGTTCCATCAGGATGCAGCCGGATCATTCGGTTTTTCACTGTAACCCCATGCACGAATGATTTCTTGTCATTCAGAAAGTATGTATCTGGTACCCACAGTTGGTCGGCTACCCTGTTGTCTAGCGTGAGGTTTAGCGGGACTCCAGAATAAGAAAGCCTTTTGTCTTTCCAAGACTGCTGGAAATACATGGTGAGCGTATAATCCTGTGAAATAAAGGAAACAAACAACAAAAAAAGAATTTATTGTCATCGTCGTCATTATCATCATCATCATCATCATCATCATCATCATCATCATCATCTGAGGACTTTTGTTAAGAAGGTGATAGCTTGTGGTATTGTGAATGCCCAGAGACACATGGTCCCGTCCTGCTGTCCCTTAAGAGGATACATTTGAGTGAGTATAATGACATCTGCACCTCTAAGCACAAGGCAACCAATAGGTTAGAGGTGCTACAGCAATAATTAGATACATGCACAGCCATTCCCACCAACATAGGAAAAAAACATTTAATTGGATTTTAATATTTGACGTTAAGGTGATGATATCACGGGGAAGGTCTAAAAGGAAAATTATACCCAGCCATGTTCACAAAAATCGACCTCTGGATATTATATTTACTACATGTTTGGAAGGAATGTTTGCTAAGTAATAACTAAAAATGTATGCACGTAAAAGGAGAGGGTGTTTTGCAAACTGTGAATGCCTTTTGAATGAATACTGTTGTTTTCCCTATGAAGATTATTAATACCATTATCTGAATCTTTCTAGAAATGACAACTTGTCTAATAGTCCTGAAAGGTAGTTTGTAAAGCATTGGATGGAGATGTTTATTTGGCCTGAGAATGACATCAGTGGTGGAACTGCTCACTAGTTCTTCTCTTACCCTCATCCCTGCTTTGTTTCAGGAATTTGTTTGAGGTCAGAGATAGCTTTGTACTTGAGTTTGCTTTCTCACCTCCTATAAAAGGTTACACTAAAAATTATAGAAAGGGAATGATTATTTTAGATCTGTAATTGTCTGTTTTTGTATATTCTGGTTTTATAATTTTTTTTAATTTCAGTGAGAGGAAAGGAGAGAGAGAGAGAGAGAGAGAGAGAGAGAGAGAGAGAGAGAGAGAGAGAGACATTGATGTGTGAGAGAGAAGCATCGATCAGTTGCCTTCTACAGTGCAACTGAGGATCAAATCTGCAACCAGGTATGTGCCCTGACTGGAAATCAAACCTACCACCCTTTAGTGTATGGAACAATGCTCCAACCAAATGAGCCACATCAGACGGGGTTAAAGAAATCCAATAATACAAATGATAGTTGTCCATTAAAAAAATAAATGGTAGCAATGACATCACAATGTTGGTGTACTGCCATTGCTTTACAGAGTGGTATGTACACTACATACCACTCACTAGTTGAGAAACATTGACTCACATCATGCCTCACATGTGGGCAAACTATACTTTATCTAGATCTCTGGATGGATATTTATGCATTTCTTAAGAATAACACAACATTCAGCCTGGAAAATGAGTTTCAGTGTCCTTTAACCATTATATTCAAGAATGCTTACACTATTTACTCAGAAACCATCTTGCAATAATTCAAAGCTTATTATTTCTTGTTCAATGACAAGGATATATGCTATTTGCTATTAATCATGCAATATTCCCTTTAAATGTCTAAAACTTCCTTCCACCTTACCTTCAATTACAAAGGAACCCACAGGTTTATACACAATTCTCTTGTTAATTGCTACCATTCTTATCTGTGTTCTCTTCAAATTATTAACATCATACCTTTTCAGAGGGAAATGAATTAGAAAAATTCTGCATCTTAGATTCCAAAATACCTTGATTCCAAGATCTACCACATGCAGAGCTATGTAACCATGACCAACTAACCTAACCCCTTGTATTTCGAATGCCTCATTTTAGAAATAATAGCATTTTACTGGCTTACTGTGAGCATTACTTGGGAAAATTATGGTGAAGGTACTTTAGAAACTATAACATGCTACACAAATATTATCTTCAAAATTGTTCATTGCTATTTAAAGATTTATATCATACTTCCAAATTACATATTCATTTTCATAAGCATTTCTATTTCTAAAGAGATGCTTATTAAAGTACTTGTAGGCAGAGGACCTCTTTGACCATGAAAATAAGCAACCAACTGTGATCACTTGTAAGTTTTGGTGTTGGTTTCTTATTTGTAATTCAGCCAGTGTAAGAAAAGTAATAACTAGCCAAAGACATGTTATTGTAAATTCTGCCATAGGAATCAGCATGATTAGCAATAGAATACATGTTTCAATGTGGGGGGACGGTGGTGAGGGGAGGAGGAGAAGGGTATAGGGGTATAAATGGTGATGGACAGAGACTTGACAGTGTACAGATGATGTGCTGTAGAATTGTGCACCTGAAACCTGTATAATTTTGTTAACCAGTGTCACCCCCATAAATTCAATAAATAGGAAAAAATACTCATGTTGAATACCCATAAACTTCCAGAATCTCACCAGTGCTACGAAGGATTTCCTCAGAATAAGACCATGAAGTGAAATTCTTACTCCATAGTCTCCTCAATAGTTTTAATGTGTACTGGGAAAACATTTATTATTGTCAAGTATGAAAGATTATAATGACAAAATAAAACTGTAATAATATACACTATAATTAAAATATGAGTTTGTGGTAAGTAAACATTGGAGAGTGAAAAGGAGAACATAATGTAAGCAGGAGTAATCTCTGCATACATTTAAATGTGTGTGTGGGGGGAGGGGTGGGGGTTGTGGGTGTGTGTAGATTTTCCCTTCTCTTTCTGGAAACTGTTTTGTTTCCCGTAGAGAAAGAACTATACACATGCAGTAAGATCTTTGCTCTACACAACTCACACTATTTTCAATAAACATTGACTAAAAGTCACATCATGGTTTTAAATTAAAGCAATAACTTACCTTATTTTCAATAAGAAGTAATTCAGTGAAAATTTACGCTCCAATGTTACATTTGGAAATGGGTGATGTGGGACAAGTACCCTTCAGAATGTTTCTTCCTAAGCATGTCTAGGGTTATTATTTTAATCTATAACCTGATTATATGATAAATGAAATATAGACATATGAGATTCCTAACCTTAATAAAAACTTTTTGAAGTTAATGATAATGATAAACATTTTGGAAAGACCTAAAGCACAGCAATCTCTTCTTTTTGTACCATCTACATTGTACCTTACTCAAGACAATAATCTCTTTCTCCCAGAGAGTGCACTGTGGTTTTTATAAGCCTTCATATCTACTATCACCATTCTTCTCCAAACCTTGTGAGATCAGCAAATTCTCTATGACAGACATTATGATCTACGTGTCTGAGAGATAATAAACTGTGCCTTAAATGCATTATTTTTTCCCTCTAAAGCTTAATATAAATATGAACAGTGACATCTGAATATAACAAAGCCTATGACATCATTTTGGTGTATCCTATTTTTATATAGAAATGAAAAGATTAAAATTATTGTATTTTTTTCCTCATACAACAGATTTTCTATTAATCCTTCAATAGTTCAAAGTGCAAGCACTCCAGGGAGAGTGAAAATTCAGAAAAAAAATCAAAGGTATTAATAATTTGGTGGAAACCACTAAAATAATTTTTCTTCCCAAGTATATTTACAAGTATCCAATCTGCTTTTTCAGGTTTGCAAGCTACTCCTTAAATGGAAGTGGGGCATATTTAGAAACTACAGGCCGTAGGGGATTCTTTGATACTGAGGCAAATTAATGGGATTAATGGGTATGAGATAGCTAATGAAATTGGTCAGGCTAATTCAGGCATGACAAAATTCAATTCATTGAGGAAAAGGAAGATAGACGATAGCAAATTGGAGTACTCAATCGAGCTCCAGAAGGGCATACTTTTTAAATCTAAAAATGTTTAAAGAAATCAGAAAATACTTACAACAAACGAAAGTCATTCTTTTGAAGAATAAAAATTACACTTGTTTTAATAGCAGTTTAAATTCAGGGCAATTTTGACCCCCCCCCCCTCCTCCAGAGCACATTAGGAACGTCTGGAGGCAGTTTGGTTGTGACAACTGGGAGTAATGCTGTGTGCTACTCGCATCTGTGGGGAGGGCCAGGGATGCCCCTATATACTGCACTTCACGGTACATTTACCTCAGCACAGAATTATTTGATTCAAAATGTCAGTAGTGCCAGGGTTAAGAAACCCTACATTAGATGAATATATCTTTCTTTTTAGTATCAGTAAAAAAATATCCAAATCTTCTATCATTATTTATTATGAAAAGTATGTACTCTAATATGTCTACCCCAAGACTTTAATATACCCCTTGACACTTTGTGAGTGGTGGCATTAGATCATGTATAATTGGCCACTTTACCACGAGAAATCATTTGATAAAAATCCATTAATTATCTAGCACCCAAATAGGGGAAAAGAGTTATGTGTTAGGCAGATATATTGGGGTATGCATTTTACCAGTATGAGCTCTAAGAAGACTTCATAGTGGATTGGAAAAGTGAGCATCCCTTATTAGCTGCCTCCACAATCAGCACATTTCAGTCTAATTTGTTAGTAAAGAGACAAAATAGTGCTTTAACATCTTACAATATTGCATCCATTCATAAGGCCCATGCGAGCAACCCCTCCTTTTTAAATTATTTCAAAAAAGGCCACATAGGGGGTTATGGTGGGATAAGGACACATATGTAATACCTTAATCAATAAAGAAATTTTTAAAAAATTAAAAAAAATTTTTAAAAAGGCCACATATACAATCAGGTTACATATATGTATGTATGTGTGTGTGTGTGTGTGTGTGTGTGTGTGTGTGTGTGTGTGTATTCCCAGGATTCTTGCACACATTTGTATTTTATCTTTCATCATGTGAATATACATTATAAGGGGTCCCAAATACAAACCCCTCTTTCCTGAAAATTATTTTTCCATTGTAGATGAACTCAATATCTGCTCTTTCCCAAGCTAAGGTTGTTTTCTCCCAAAGGAGGACTGTAGTAGAGCTGTGCATTGTTGTTTACCACTTTTACAGTCCCTTTGTGATAGAAACTGCCCTGTCTACAGCCTTTGCTGGTTGAGCAAGGCCAAGTTCTATATCATTTAATATTGTCCCCATCCACCTTGAAAATGGAGAGTAGAAGATATCTTACTTAAGAGCACTTG